TCTTAGCTTTCTCTCAAGACTCAAGGCAATCTCTTAACTGTCAGCCTCTGTGCTATCAAAAAAAGTCAATCACAAACTTCCAACGTACAATGGCACATAGTAAACATTCTCATTTCAAAGAGTAGAATCAGGAAACAGCAAAGAAAGACTGGACCAAAGCAAACCTGAAGCCCAGAGGAACTACCCAAGAATTATCCAAGTCTTCCTAATTCAGTCCTGCCAGGTCTGTCTCTTGCAGTGTGGGAAATGCTACCCCTTTGGCCTGCTCTCTGCCATGCCTCCAGTCTTCCTTAGCAGGAATTCTATCACGCTGGCATCTCTAAAATCCTAGAGTATCCATTGCCACTCATGCTTCGTCTTTACAGGCTCACACAGCCTCCTTTCACAACTCCAAGTCTGCCAAACACCACCTGGTTTGACTAGTTTTCTGTAATCTTGGCACAGGCTTCCATGCCCCCTTCAATCTTGTATCCTTCGCGTGTGTAAAGCCAGTACCCTGTGGACGAGGCTGCCTAATTCAGTGGCCAGCTAAAGATATAGCCTGGCCTCCGGAAGCAGGCAATCTCTTCAGCAAAATTCTCAGTTTTGGTGCTCTTCTTTTAATTAATTGCATTTCCACAAGATGCACCTTTTGGTGGGTGAGGTCTTGCCCTCAGGGCACTTTTTCCTATTGTCCCAGTGTGGTTGCACAAGGCTTCTCTTGAATGGTGCTTATACCTTTACAGTTACAATTTCATCCTCAGCACCTGACTTATGTGCAACTTTAAATTTTCTACTTTGCCCAGCAAATTGTATATTTTCATATCTCTCTGTCCACTTTCTTCTCCAGCACGCTGTAGACCTGGATAAGAGCAGTGAGCAGCAGCTGTGGTACAGCCTGAATGCCATTCTCTGTGTTTTGAGATATCTTCCACCAAACTGGTCATTGCTTTCTAATGACTTAAGTTCTCTGGACATAGGCAAAATACACCCAGATTCATTACCAGAATATATCACAAATGGTCTCTAGCTCCCTTTTTAATTGTGTCCTTGTTCCCCTCTGAAATCTGATGAACCAGGTTTCTACTGCTCATATTTCTTTCAGCATTATGCTCTTCCAAACTCCCACCAGGATGGCCTTTTAAGCAATGCTTACAAAATTTCTGGGCTTTCTCAAAGAAAGTTTTCCAAACGTCTCCACATTCCTCCCACAAGCTAGCCCCAAAGATCTAAGAACCACATCCTCAAATCCATCAAAGGCAAGGCTCCTCTGCTTGGCATTGATTTTCTTTACTGCTTTTCTCGTTACTGCAACCAAATACTGGACAAGAGCAACTTAAGGAGAGATGGGTTCGTTGTGATCTACAGTTTAAGAAGGGGTTCAATCAATCATGGCAGGGAAAGTGTGCCAACGGAAGTCTGAAGGAACATATGATTTCATTGCAACTCTAGGAAACAGAGAATACACAGGAAGTGGAGCCCTCAAGCCTGCCTTCCTCCAGGAAAGATCCACCCTGTAAAGGTCCCACAACCATTCCAATAGCACAGTTAGCTAGGGACTCAGTGTTCAGACACATGAGTCTGTGAAGGACATTTCACATTGAAACCACACAAGACAAATTCACCGTATGAGATGAGAACATTCTGGAAACAATTCTGATGCTGGTGCTACAATTATGAATATGCATATTTTAATTCAATGAAGGAATGAACAAAAGCAATTAGAATGGTTGGGGAAAACCTCTTCAGTGTTTCTTCCAAAAATAAGTGACCTCCAGGAACTGTCTGTGTGGGTGAGATGGGACCAGGTACTTACTGCAGTCTTTCTCAGCTCTGTTGTTCATGATTTTGGTTTTCTGATTGGGCGTCCCAAAGAGTTTTTTCCAGTTTATTGTGTTTGCGTAGCACAAATTTCGGTTTCCGGAAATGATCACATCGCCATCACTGATCTCCTTGAGGGAACGCAACCCCAGTGATGTTATGTTCAGGCCAACAACTGCCAGGGAAAACTGACCACTAAAGGGAGGAGAAGAAAAATTGCAGTGTGAGTGACAGCGAAAGCAAAGGGTCACCTTCAAATTTAGTTTTTTCCAGGCCACTTAGGTTTCCTGAATACTGTGTTCCAGTTATTACTAATCATTCTGTGAAAAGTATGAATCACAACTTTTAAAAATTACAAGTATTTTTTTTTTTTAGATTTCTTCAAGGAAAAGATAGTTTCTCATTCACGTATTATCTTTAACCTTGGATAAACAGGAGGACTTAATCAGAGGCTTTATGTTATTTCCTTTACTTTATTTATAGTTTTCCTAGAAATCAAGAACATGCTTTCTAGCATCTGGCAACATCAAAATGTACTTTAAGTAAATATAAGTATCTGTCCATCTGCCTACCTACCACTCAGCTATCCAGTCACGTTTAGTGACTGAATATCTGTGGTTCCATTTGTCAAATACCACACAGGTTAAATATTTGTCTTTTTTACTCAGGGAACCTGTCTAAAGGTGATATAATCATACAGGCAGAGCTTCCTGAGTCCATCAAAATAAATGCAGCTTTAGTGTGAGCACTATGTCAGCCAAGGTTGAGCATTAAACATTGCCATGAAGGAAGGTCATGGGAGAGTGACTTTCTCTAAGCCATGATAGCTCATATCTGAGACCTGGAGAGCAGAGCCCTGCTGGGCATAAATTGTCCTGGGTAGGAGATCCACAACAATCACTTACTGGGATTTCCCCCCCAGCATATACCCAGAGAAGCCAAGAAGGCAGGGTCTGGCAGGGGTCTTTCTTGCAGGTCAAGCCCCAGCCTTTTGTGAGTCTCACCAGGAACTAGTGGTCATTCCTTAGCTTAAATGCTTAAAACTATGCACAAGGCTCCTGTGCAGCTGCTTGAAACATGGTGCTAACCTCAGAAAGAGAGCATTCCTGTGAAGACAGGAAGCAAAAGCAGCTGTATGCTTAGTATCAGAAGTGTCTATCTAAAGGAGTTTATGCACAGTGAAGTATATTCTGTGTGTAAGGTGCTTTGATTTGTTAAATATTCCACAATATTAGTGGATTTAGTGGTGTTAGTGGTGGTAAATTTCAGAAAAAGCTATCATAATCAGAAAGTTTCCAAGGCAGATTTGAGCTACAGATTTGCACATTTCTTTTCCTCACCACAAACCTTAGTATTTCTCTTACTCTCTGAAAGCTCTACAACCCTCTCCCATCTCTCTCTGTCTCCTTGGTGTGACAAGCTTTAGATCTTCAACTGTTATTATCAAATATTAGCCAACCACAAGCAAGGAGACATCCTATAAACACCCAGTCACATTTTTCCAGAGTGTCAAGACAATGAAAATGAACAAATACACAGGAGCTGGGGAAGTTTGAAGGGGACTAGGAAGACATCAGACATCAGTGTAGTGTGAGATACTGGAGAGGACAGAGAAAAAATGGAAAATCTGGTGAGCTCAGAATGAAGTACATGGTCGAGGGAAGCGTACTGCACAGTGACAAATTCTTTATCTTGATTTTCATATCTACTCACGTAAGTTGCTCACATTAGGGGAAGCTGAGTTTGTACTATTTCTGTATCTCTTGACAAACTTGAAAAAAAATCTACTAGGCTTTTGTTATGGCCAACTTACTGTTGCCTTGTTCTGCCACGTATTATTTCTAGGTTCTCAAAAACATGGAGGTCAGTCCAGTTTTCAGGCCAAGCCTGAATCAGCAAAAACCCTAGAGGGAAGAAGAATGGCTTAGATACACTGCTAGAAATCTCTCTTTATTTTTTTCATCTCCAAAAATTCTTATTAGCATGATTAAAAACATCTTTTGAATAGTAAGAGAAGGAGTTTCTAAACATGAAAGTTATCAATGGTTCTACTTTATAACTAATATTTGGAATTGAGTGGACAGCTTTATTGACAGTCTTCATTTATTAAAAACAATCCATTTATTGGTTCCATGACATGACTATTGCTTTGTCTGGGTGAAGGCTGGATGCCTCAGTGTGGGGGAATTCTAGGGTGGGGAGGTGGGAGTGGGTGGGGGCACACCCTCATAGAAGCAGGAGGAGGGGAGATGGAATAGGGGGTGTCTTGGGGGGAAAATGGGGAAAGGGGATAACATCTGAAATGTAAATAAATAAAATATTAAAAAAAAGACATTTCTTTGGTGTAAGAAGCATGTTCTAGGATTCGGATAAGGCTACTGTATAGACCTGCGTAGCTGATTCTTCCTGTCCCTACCACGAAGGATGATAGTGCATGCACACACACACACACACACACACACACACACACACAGACACACACACACAAATCCCGCCCCTTCTATGCAACCTTGAATCCCTGGCTGTCCCTCCCTAAATGTGTAGGCCAATTCCCACCTGACATGTTGACCAAATGCTCTGGCTCTGAAGTCCTTGAAGGATATCAGATTATACACCTGGATCCTTCTCTGACTGTTTTCCAGTCTCCTGTTACCACGGCCACCTTTTAAATATATTTTTTTCCATTTAACTCTGGTCTTCATATCAATCTTGTTTTTCAGATCAAATTATCTCCCTTTCCAAGATGAAGAAAATGGCATGCAGGTGGCAACCATAGATCCAAGATTTCCCGGGTGGACAATTATTTGAAATCTAGTTTGTGAAACTGGAGAACCTGCACTGCCTGCTAGTGTTCAACCTCATATCCTTCCCTCCATCTTCTCTCTGGGGTTTGGGGTCTGTAAGGATGATGGACTGTCTGAGCAGAAAAGAACCATTCCATATGTCCACATCAAGTCCAGCATGATTGCAGTAGTTTTGGCTTAAAGTGGTTTCAACTTGCATCAAGGAAAACTGGTTTTTAAAAATGTCTCGAAGAATTAATCGTAATGGATAAGCATCAGACACCTCATTCTCATGTCAAAGAAGAAGGGGAAATGACTGAGAGTCTCTATAAAATTAAATTTCCCATATATACCTCTGCATATCCGAGTACAAACCTGTTATTTCCTTTACAGTTTTTAAAATTTCTAGTTCCCGTGGGTCTAGAGGAGGAGTGCGAGTGAAAGAATCCCTGAAACAGACAGCAACATGATTATTGGTCATTCTCCATGGCTTACTGAAGGCGATTCTGTAGCTCTCTGCCCAGATCGCATAGCTATTACTCACCCCTTAAAGGCCACGGGCAGGATGTGAAGGTCTCCGCTGATGGCAGTGCAGTATTTGAAGTGTTTGATGTTTGTAGCGTTTATGGAGAGTGTGTCTTTAAATTCACCAATGCCTATGCCATTACAAACTGTTGAGAGAGATGTGTGTTCTATTTACATTTGTTTAATTAAGAAGGCTTGGTCTGCACAAGCAGAAGCAAGAACCTTGCTACCATGCACTGTCAATTCATCCCAACGACCCTGAGGGGACCCTCCACGTGCCAAGACTTCTATGACAGGCTTCGGTGTTCCTATCAGTCACTGGAGTGGGGATTGGAGCTATCCTTGTCACATACCCCTGTCAGATTTGAATTTTTGCTCTCCTTTCCTAGCTGGGCTGAATCTAGACACTCACAAAGACGTTGGCTCTTCCCCTTTCTGTCTACGTCAGTTCACCCACCTGGGCTGCAGGTGGCGCCTCTGTACCTGGTTCGAGAGAACTCCCCGCCCCCCTCCACCTCCTCCACCATGTAATTGGGCTTAGCAAGTTTATACATTTTATTTTTTTAAATTAAAGGAATAAGGTGGTTTTGTTGGGAGGTGGTCATAAGAGTAGGGCACAAAGGTCAAGAAAAACCCTACGGTACACCTGTAGGTTGCTTACCTTTGCGACAGGGCCCATCACATTTTTTACACTTGCTGACGCCATCTTCTTCCACTTCGTAGTAGTCAGGCCCACAGGCCCGGACACATGAGCCGTGATCTGTCACCACGTAGTTTCCTGAGGAAGAGGTGATGAAAAGAAGATGTTGAAAGCCACAGCAGGTGGTCCTAACCTTCCACAAACATCCTCATGTCCTGCTGTATATGGGCTGCTGAAAAGGTTCCTCTTAGTTTGGTTGACTTTACTTTGAGGAGAAAGATGGACAGGTTTCAAGTACAAGAGGAACCAAGCCCTAGGTTAATGGCTTTTCTGATGGCCATGTGAAGAAACACAGACACTTGATCCCAGGCACAAAACAGCTGTGGGAGGAAACACCTCCATGTGTGCTCACTGACTGAAGGGCCCTTGTTGAACGTAAGTTTCCTCTGACAGGTCTATGTTTAGAATATGTAAGGAAATCTTGGATATGTAGTACACACACACTAATGCTTATCAGACAGACCATGTCCCATTGAGGTGACTACAGTTTGTTCTGTTTGACAGCAGCTTTGCCCTTTCTCACCCACCATGAAGTCCTTGGTGGTACAGTGAGAGGACCAGTTTGCTCTGCTTCCTGGACAGCTACTCCAGAACTTGTCTCTACTCCCCTTTATGTAGTCTATCACAATTAATATTTATGATTATAGTATTATTAGAAACTCTATGCTCCTATTTTGAGTTTCCCAAAAAAATGCTCAAAAGTATAGGCATTGGTGCTATATCTGTGAGTCATATACTCTTGTTATCATAGGTTTTGTTTCCTGAATATTTGAAAGACCTGTTTACTAAGCCTTCACACAAAGATCCTAGCTACAGCATGGCTGTGGTGAGTTTTTCGTTTTCTATTTACCTTATTTTACTCTATTTATTTTACTCTATTTCTCTCTCTCTCTCTCTTTCTCTCTCATTCCTGTGTATGTGTGTGTGTGTGTGTGTGTGTGTGTATGTGTTTTTATACAGACTTCCATCACCCAAATCTAGGCAGGCATAATATTACCTTCATAGTTTCCCCTTTATATATATATATATATATTTGGTCTAAATTTCCTTTCTAGAAGTCAAGATTGGCTTTAAGGCTCTTTATGAGTTGTTTCTCTTTCTCTGTTTGGGACTGAGCCATGTTGACATTTCTCTATAAGTATCATGGAGTACCATCACACAGAACCCAAATGACTAAATCAAAGCAAAACCGAAATGGTAGTACTCCAGGAGCCCAAACTTTACTGGAAGTTCTTCCACTCAAGAGGGTGGGTTTGCTGCTTTTTCTAATTTAAGTCTGTTAAACACCAGCATAAAGCAGAGTCAAACAATGGTTGGCCCAGAGGATCATAATCTCGTGCTAGTCAGCTCCAGGACACCCTAGCTGGCTTTCCAACTTGGGGTGAAGAGATATGTGGTTTTTGCTATGTAGTCTGGCTGCCAACAACACTGGGATCAGCGCAGGTCAAGCCACCCTTTAAATAAAGGCATCCTGTCTGTCACAGGTTGTCTCTGCCTCCATTGTTCAGCACTGAGTGGGGTTCTCGTCTTTGTACCTAGCTAGGCAGGTACTAACCTGCATGACAAGGCAAGGCTAGCAGTTGCCCCCAAACTGCCCAGGACTCCAGCATGAGACAAAAGAGGACACAATGGCTGCTGTATGAAAGGGGGAACTCACGGGGGCACTTCTTCACACAGGTGGCACCAAAGCTGTACTTCCCCTCAGGGTTGACATCCATCTGATACGTGGTGGGGTTGTACAACATGAGTGGTGGGCAGGTGTCTTTGCATGTGGCTTCATCTCGGAACCTGTGGCAGACCTGTCACAGGAGGGACAACATGTTTAGTCAAGGATTGGTATCCAAATGAAAGGAGCCCAGGACCAGGCAGCCTGTAGTTCATCGGCACAGTGACAGTTCTCAGTAATCACATGCTCAATTAGAGAGGAAAAAAATGTCTGTTAAGCCTTCCCAGGGTAGTCAGAAATGCTTTCCTCTTATAAGTACTAAGTAGCATTTTTAAGTATACTGACTGTTCCAATTGATATAACCTAGAGTTTGAAGTTAGAAAAATATGTCTCTATTGATTATAGGTAATAATGATATCTACACATGATATTGGAAAGTATGGTGTGATACTATTTTTGAACTCAGTTTTTACTGGGTTTCTCTCATAAAGAACACTATAGAAAATATTTTAGAATTTACTGTCAAATTGCAAGAAGGTTCCATGTAGAAAGATGTTGGCTTTTTCCAAGAACTCCATTTACAGTCTTATCCCTGGATACATTAGAATCAGCCCAAGCTACACAAGTGAAAAAAAAATCCCCAGGGCCTGGTTTAGTTTCTGGAACTTAAGAATCTTCTGTTCCAGAAACTATAGAATATTCTAGACTCTAGCTTTAAGTGGACTTCCTTTTCTGGAGCCTAGTGGAGTTTTGCTTGGGTTGGCACAGACACCGGGAATCATATTCACTAACCCCTGACATCTGCAAAGTTAGCACTAGAGCTTTCATTAGAGATTCTTCAGAAGTGGTAGGGGGTTCAGGGGGTGCGGGGAGATGACGTGGGATGGGGTAGGGGAGGGGAGCAGCTCAAGAGACATGTAAATATGGCTTGCAAAAGCCATACTGCCTAAAGGTCTGTGTAACTGGGAATGGTTCTCAGATCTTAAAGGAGCTCTCTACATTCGTCATAATGCAGCTGCTGTTGTCCATGATAACACTTATTTAAAATGTGCCCCACAGGAAGGCTGCTGTCACAGTCAGATGCCCAGCAAGTGCACAGCTCTGTAGCACAACTTCCCAGTAACTATAGTCTTACCAGACAGTCACTCTCTCGGGGCCCCGTACACCCTGCGGCACACTGGTTGTGGCAGCAGTCACTGGGGGACCTACCACGACAACGTCGGGAACATTGCTGGGCACAGATGATTTTGGTCACTGAAAAAGAAGGATCACCAGTGAGCTGTGTTTAAGTGGCAGCTCATCTTTTAGCGACACCAAGGAATGCTTGCACACAGTAGAAGGAAACAAACGGGGGAACAGATGGTACTTGTGACAGGGAAAAGCTTCTGGGCATTCACACTCAGCCAAACAGTATAATCACAACTTTCCCATTGGTATATTTTTCTTATCATTTATTTCAAATCACTTGGGAGAAGTAATGGAAACAAGTATGATTGGATCTTTTGAATAAGTAGATATTAGCCAGGGAATTCTTGGCAATACAGAAGGCACACAAAGCAAGAAGAGCTCCTGGCAGGAGGCAGTGTTTAAAGGAATGAGATAGTTATGTCACAAAGGCAATGGTCAATTTTGAAGCTGACACACTCCTAGTTTTTTTGTATGAGGCAGTAACCACACTGAAATAAATTAAACTTTGTTTTTTAAATTAGTAGGATTCACACTTATACTCTGTGGAGAAACACTGTCAAACTTCTGTATTAGTTGGTACCAGAAAAAGGAGAGGCTGGAGCAGGGGACAAGCCATCCCATGTGTCACCATGGGCACTTGGGTGGTTGGCTTTCATGCATTTAATGACAGGTTAAATTACCCCAAAGAGTAAGCCTTAGATCGTTGTGGGCTCTGAGGTTTGCAAGACTGATGTTCGTGAAGTGGTTAACACTGAGTCTTTTGCCAAACTCCTGTACTTGTTCAGTCACCAATGTGGAGGAGTGGAGGACCACATACTGTGTGGACTCTCTCACCAGGGCGTGTTTCTCAGGCCCTGATGCTGCACCCACTTACATTTCTGGCAGTTTTCCTCTCCTCCTCCCCAGCAGCTTCCATTGGGACAGCTTGGATCACATTTTGGGCCTGAAATAAAAACCAAGTAGTTAAATGTGTATTTCAATAAAAATAACAAATAAAGTGGAACTGCCGACACCTCTTTCCAGGCCCTAAACAATGTCCTAGAAACAAGTAACAGCTTGGAAACTTTGCATTCATAGTTTGCTTGGGTACTTTGTAGGATCAATTAAAGGACTCCTACAAGAAAGGGAAAATGTTGAGCCACGGACTGCTTTTGTTTGTACTTTAGGGTGGAAGTTGAGACAGAGGGTGCTTACTGACTCATCACAGCCACACAAATGATAAAGCTAATGAGTTTAGGGTTCCAGAGGTGTCACCTGAGTCGGCTTCTCTAACCGGATTGGCTCAATGTGCACTTACTCACCTTGCTACATCCAATCCTGACCAACAGTGTAGGGTAATCGTCACTGGATGTTTAGGGATGTTACATCGTGGCTGGTAAATGAACACTCCTCTCCTCCAAGCCATGGAGTAGTGCAGGACATGGCACAGGAAGTGAACATTCTAATTCTGTGAGTCACTTGGCTAATCACCTAAAAACCTTAGTTAATAGTTGGCAATACTACTGTCTGGGAATCTTTGTAATTGCTAAATATTTGTATTTTTATAGTTGGTCAATATCAAGTTGCAGCTGCAAAGGTTTTCTATTCAGCCATTAATCATCCTGAGAAATAGGAGGATCAAAGTGTTGGTCAACACAGCTGTTGAAAAGTTCAGTGGAGCTGATTTACTTTTCCCGCCTTTGCTTTTGTGGTGCTGGTTACTTAACACCTCTATTAGATTCTTAGAGACATTCTCCTTAGTTCTGTAGTTCTCTACTGGCAATCAGAGTTCATCCTACAGTGTTATTTCACATGGAACCTTGTTTGATGGTGTATGAACTTGCTTTTCAACTTGATACTTGACACTATAAATATTTATCCTCATGTTTCCTTCTAGGACTATACCTATTATGTATAAAATAAATTATATATATATATATTTACATATACTTAGTACATATTGGAAACTTATATTGATGTATGGAGTAGCTGATGAATTAATTTTTTTCTTTCTCGTAAATCCACTCTTATAACCTCAATTTATAAACTTTACCAATGATAATACATGTTGGCCACAGTGGGCCCCTCTTTTGAATCTCAGATGCCTCACATGTATAAAACTTAAAACTACCTCATGATACTTGTTTTGCTGTTAAAAATGTAATGCAAACTTTGCAAAAGGAGTATTATGCATCTGCAGCTTGTCAACAGAGGAAAGTAGAAGATAAGAGATTCAGGAGATAGAGATTCCCTGTCTTTTAATATATATATAACTCTCATTTATACTTTTTTAAAAAAATTTATTATAGCTCTAATAGTTGGGCTATTTGTCCCTTAATCATTGCTTTTACAGAATAATTTACTGAATCAATTCTTACTTGAAATGTCACTTATTTATGCAATTTTGATTCAGTTAGGCTTATTCTCATGACTAGTGCTACCTTTTGGATATGTAATGACTCCCAGAGGTTCAGACTTTATGCCACAGAGAAGTGATAGGGACTTTAGAAGATAGGACTAATGACTACCTGGCAAGATGTGTGTGAACGTTATGAGGGGAAACTAACCATTCATGCTGGTATATCTGTATATCTGGCCAGAAACCCACAGTTCAGGACCTTCTAAGCTCCTAGGAAGAACTTACCACTATCATTTCCCTAAACAGACACAGCATCAAACTGCTCTCAAACTACTTATCTCTATAGCCAATAGTGCTCAGTCCTCATCAGAGAGGCTTCTTTGTGTCGCAGATGATGATTACTACAGACTCCCAAGTGTCAAAGTGCAGAGAGTAAGTGTCTATGGAGTGCTCAGGAATGAATAGGATATCTGCCTCACATCCCTCACTCCTAAGACTCTAAGAACATCTCAGAAAAGAGGGTGGCAAGATGATAAGAACCAGAGTTCAGGGAGGACTGCTGCGAGACATCTGGACACAGCACAGCTGTTCTTCTCACGGACTCATGGCAGCTGTGGCTGCGTGCCCAAGACCAGCAGAAGACTGAGCCTGTCAACATTCCAGCATGGGTGGGGGAAGGGATCATGAGTACACACCCCTGGTTGCTGGAAGAGGGTGTGGCCCCTGGTTGGTTAAGTATGCGCCAGTGGATGCCCTACACCCATGTGCGTATGTGCAGCACTGATTGCATTCAGTTGATTATTTTAACAAGATATGAAAGTGGGATGAGGGCGTAGGGAACAGAGGAGTTGGAAACATGGTAAGGGGATTGAATATGATCACAATTACTTATATACATACATGTACTTCTCAAATAATAAATAAAAATGCTATATTAGATAAAAAAAGTGGCAATACTGGAATCCCAGTCATTGAAGGCAGTGTCTTTGAAGGAGCAAGACGACCCTGACCACTTCTCCTTTCTCTTCCGATTACAGCACCGTAAGGTAAGCATACTTCTACTCCCGATTGCCATCATGACACACTCCCCATAGGTTCAGAAACACTGTAGCCAACTGACTGTGGAGGAAACCTGCAAGGCAGTGAGCCCAAATAAACCTCTCCTTTAAACTTTGGCATTTTTATTCCAGTATCAGAGAGCTAAATTTGTTATTAGACAAATACCTTACAAGTTCAGAGATCAAATATTAAAACATTTGAATCTTGTATACTATTTTTTTCAACATTCCTTTGTGAGTTTTCCACACAGCAGTGAGTATAAATTTGCCATTGTGAGGTACTTGATTTTTATCTGTGACAAATTCAGCTCCATAGACTTTCCATGTAATATTTTAAATATGTATGATTTAATTCACCTATTGTACATAAAAAAATTTTAAGAAATGCCAACCTTGATTTCATAGATAATAACAAACATCCATTGCAAAATACTGTTCAGTTTCTTACACTGTCAATGTCACAGTGGGTATCTGGTAGAATATATATTTATAAAACAAAATACTCAATACCCACATTCACAGTAACATTATTCAGAGAGTCAACTCAAGTGCCCACAGACAAACAAAAGGTAGTACAAGCCTGTGATGAAATATTTCAAGCCTTCAAAGGAACAAAATTCCCAGCATAAACTACAATATGGATAAATTTTGAGGTCATTAAATCAAATGAAATAAACCAGACACAAAAACACGCAAAAAAAACCCCATACAATTCCACTCTCATGAGGCACCTACAGCAGTCAAATTCATAGGCACATAAAGTAGGATTGGGTTGCCTTGGCCTGGGCCTGGGAGGAAAGGAAAATAGGTCATTACTGTTTAATGAGCTCAGAGTTTCAAATTAGTAAGACTTGAAGATAGTTAGTGGTTGTAGCTGCAAATCAATAGAGACACATAATGCTACCAGAGTGTCACTTAAAATGACTAAGGTGACAGATTTCCTACATTTTCCAACCCAACTATTTTAATCAAAACATTAATAAAAATAAAGCTATTAATTAAAAAAGCAGAGTTTTTAGTTGATATTTTTGTGATTCAGGCGGCCTCCACTGTAGGTCCAAACTCAACCTGTATGAAGCCTCAGTTATAGGAACAGGATAGTAGAAAATGGAGCTGTGTTTTATGTTAAAGTATTGAAAGATGAGTACTATCAGGAAGAACAGGCTTGGTGGAGTTTTGTAAGTGAAAACATGTCATTCCAGAGATTGTCTTGGCAAAGGCCACTGTTGCAACCCTAAGCTTACTTCTGGCCCTCTGCAAGGCCCTCAGTTGCAGGGGGTTGCCTGAGGAGAGGGGCATGGATGCATTGAGAACATTTAGGAAAATATGGAGAACCCTTCCCCGGGGTTCTGTGTTACAATGTTTACACTGATAAGCTGATGGGCAGAGCCCACCATATTAGGATGACCTCAGTGCCACTGTGAAAATCAGGAACATGTCAGAAGCATGCTTGACTGGTCAATGCCTGGGATGTAGAAGGGGAGATGCCCTGCCTCAGCAGACTGTCACTGCATCATAGAGAAAGGCTCTTATTGCTCAATAGTCTCACGAAGATTGTATCATTCTGAAAATGACAGCTGTTGTATTAAATGGTGAGAAAACATTTTATATATTACCCTCTTGCATAAAATCTCCTTTAATGAAAAGAGCATTTGCTTACTACTTATTTTTCTTGTATGTTAATGAATGTGATCTAAAGTTAACATTCTTCCACCCCAACACTGTCCACTTCAGCACACCAGAGGAACTGAAGCTAAAAGAAGGTGAAAGGCGCACTTACAGCTGCTCAGATGGCTCTGTAAGTCCATTGACATGTTGCTCAGAAAGACATCATGGACGATGTCCCTCCACTGGATAGTCTCCATGTTGCAGAGGATGGGGTTGTTGCTGAATCGCACAGCACCAGTCAGGATTTCTGCATGAATGGAACCACAGTGATCAGGACCCTTTGTCTCCTGGTAATTCACACAGTGCATGTGTTCATTTCTTTACGTTTCTGATGGTCTATTTAGTTTTTCCAGTGTGCAAATACAGATGCCACCAAAGAAGACCCCGTAGAAGATCTGCTAGGGATATGTGAAGAAACTCTTCATGATACTGACCTGAAGGACTTAGGATTTTTTAATGATTCTGTTGTGAAATTTAGAAATGCAGTAGGGGGAAGAGGGCCTATTCAACATGCGTGGCAAGAAGGACAGACATATGATAACTTGTAGTTCTTGGGCCATCTCAGTTGGAGTGGAATGGTTGGATGATGTGAAAGGGAATTCAGGGCAGAAGGTCAAGGTGGAGGGCAAAAACATTTGGACCTTTAAGACCAAGACAGAGTGACTGTCACCAGGCAAACTCTCAGGTGCCACTGGAAGATTTCTACCAAAGAAGGGAAAGAATCTGAGTGTGATATGAAACAAGGCTTTTATACATGAGAAAGACTCAAAGAAATGCCAGTGGTGCAATAACATATATGGCTATACAATTGTTTGGAAGAAGAAATGAGATGAGATCACAAAGTTGGGGCTGAGAAAAAGTCTAACTTGTTCAAAGGGAGAAGGCTACAACAGAAACATTAGACACAAACATTGGAATGATTCATGTATACAAAATCCACAGATGCTCTGGTCTGCAAAGATGACTTTGACTTACAGTCTTCTCTCTGAGAATTGAAATGCACAGAGATAGGTACGCCATAGCCATGTCTAATGGAGAAAGGACTGAGAATTGGGCCAGTTGATATGTAGACATTACCTCCACTAACCCTCACTGAGGTCCAATGGCTATCATTTAATGTGGGAAAAGGACTGAAGAGACAGCTTAGCCGATAAGAGCATACGATGTCCTGATAGGTGACCTGGGTTTGGTTCCTAGCACACAGTGGGTGGCTCACAACTGCTTGTAACTTCAGCTCCAGGGGATCCAATGTTTCTGGCCTCCATGTGCTCCTACATGTGTGTGCACACCCCACTCCCACACATATACAATAATTAAAATTGAAATTAAAGACCATAAGTGTGGGGAAACCCAACTATAGACACAAAAGTGACCTCAGCTCTGCATGGGCAGAGAGTGGAAGCTTTTGTCTGCATAGAGTGCTGATGTGGAGGAGGGGGGATTCTCTGGAAAAACTTGTGGAGACTGCTAGGTCACAAGGAGAGGAGACCTGCACATGTTCATAAGCATAGCTTAGAGGACAGGGAAATTGGAAGTGCTGACACTTTCCAGCAGACAGATTCAAAGTAGAACAGCATATTTGGGATATGTAACAGTTCTCTCAACAGATGACGGGATGGAAGAAGTTTAGAAGGAAGGCAGGTAGGCAAGAAAGGGCTGATGTGGAGCTTGTCCTGGAAAGTACAGGTGAAATCAGTATGGAAAGAAACAAGAGAAACCAGAGATAAGAGGTCAAACACAGCAACATAGGGTAGAACATCAAGGTGGCAGTGACAACCAAGAGAAGCGACAAGGAGGCAGAGAGAGGGAAGAGTCATCAATAGGTACTAGGAGTGTGGGGGCTTCAATAACCACTTACTCCTAACTGAACTGGGAAAGGAAGTGAGTGGAAAGCCAAATCTATTGTTTTTTATGTTGACATTCAGGAAATGCTCAGTTGTTGTTGTAGTCCTATATTAAATAATTGCAACCTGTGTAATTATAACCTGCCTTTATTATAAAAATAGGAACAGTCCAGGGGTAGAGCATTCACACCTGAACACACACACACCCACACACACACACACACACTCACACCAGTAAAGAAGGAACTCAAATAGCTGGTGCAGTCTTTGCCTGCAGTAATAGGGCTGATTTTGTCAACACATAGAAGGTGTATTAGCAAGTACAGGTATTACATTTTTGAAGTCAGGACACTGAGATACAGGGCAAGACATAGGTAAAGGAATATCTGCAGGGTTATTTGGGTGCTGAGTGGTGGTGCTGGGGCTGGAACACAGACAGCCTGGCTCCAGGAGGCAGCCACTGTTGCCTGGCTCCCTCACATGTATGAGGCAAGGCAGGCAGAACAAGGCATGCCAAAAGCATCAAACAGGCCGTTTCATGCAATGTGTGTATGGGAGAGATGAATGCAAGCACAAATTCAGAAACATGCGTGGGTGCTCAGAGTAGTTAGAGTGGTGGGTGGGAATTCTGAAAGCAGTTTATAGGGTGGTAAAGCAGGGAGCTGGGGAAGGAAGTGTCTGGCTGGCTGCGTTCCTCCCTGAAGTGAGGTGTGGCTACGTCCTAGCTCGGCCTACCGCTAGGCTCCCACTCTGCACTCTGTCTTTGCACCCCATCCTCTTCCAAGTCTACACTGCTTCCCATAAAAACTGCAGGGCACACAGAGATTACAGAACCAGGCATGGGCACAGGGCGTTGGGAGAGCTCTCTTACTTCTGTGCCTTTCTCTGTAAAATGTCAAGTGTACAATATATGCTGTGAAAGAAGACCGTGGCATTAAGGGAGTTACTGACTTGAGAAGCATTTCATAGAGTGTGTGTGTATGTGTGTGTGTGTGTGGGGGGACTTGTTTCTCCTCATTTCAACCATCTTCCCGTTTCCTCTCCAACTTCAAAACCTTCCCTTCTCTTCCTAACTCATACCTGAGTTTCCGTGTAGCAATATTAACCTTGAGACCTGCTTCTTTGTTATAGAAAATTTTTTTTTTAAGTACATTAGATTCCTCTCCCATGAATGTCTCTTCATTTAACTGAGTTTGGTCCAGTTTGGAAGAAACATCAAATGACCAAATTCACAAGCACCTTAATTGTTCTGTTAGTTTTGATTATTTTTGATAAATACCTTGCTGTGCCTAATAATGAATTGAGTGACAAGAGTCATATTGATACAGAAGAAAACCACGGTATGTAGGGTTTGGGATACCTGATGTTTCAGACATCTGTATTGTCTTGGAATAAGTCTGTGCAGGATGAGGGGGTGACTGTATGTCCTCTCTGCTTCTGGGTCAAGTTTGCTTCTTATAAACACTCATCTAGGTCGACTGGATTTCTGAAAACATGGATATTATTCCTCATCTGTGGAAGAACTAATTTTTACCTGGCTGGAATCTCTTTCCAGCTCATTACTTCTGCCACATTACTGTTGCCCAATGCCATCAGAATCCCTCTCTGCCTGGATGCTCTGTTTCTTACCCTGTAAATTCCGCATTGGCAGTTCCCTAAGCCCAGTTCTGTTTGCCCCATAGTTGGATAGGACAGCTAAGGCATAGGTGTTTTCATAGAGAGCATTTCCTCTGATGATCTGCAGGTTCTCCAAAGGGATCCTCTCCACAGTGTTGAGGGCAATGAGCACATAGCCAGCCACCTCCTGGATGGTCTAAGAGAGACAAAAAAGCTTATTAGTTTGCTCTGGAGTGAACGAGAATTGGGTCCAGGAGCCCCATTTAACTTCAAGATAACATTCATGTGGCAGAAAATCTAAGACACCTAGACACTTGCACATGGGTGAAGGGGTACTGCAGGCTTGCAACGATTCTTTTGTGCTTGCATTAGAAGCCTGTATAAAGGAACAGCATTCCATTTGACATGTGACTCCCACTTTGACCCAAATGAAAATGAAAGAGAAAAGAATTACCCCGTATGTATTGATCATGATTTCTTGTGGAAGAAAAACTAGGGGTTGGGGTGGAGAATAAGATAGAAATAAACCTAAAGCATTTGCAAATCAAATTTGAATTTTTCTGAGTTCACTCCTAATGGCTCACTGGGAATATTAAGGAATTTTGTAAAGTAGTTATAAATTCCTGGTAGCTATGGTGTAAGTGTTTATACCACATACATAGGTGCATACAGAAAAACTGAGTTTCGAAAATTTATCATTATTATTATTTGAAAAGCTAGTATGTCAACATCATCTGGCTGAGACAATGGCCAGCAGTCAATGCTAGTGTGCATGAGGACTGTGGAACATCAGGTGAGTTTCTGTTCTATTTTCTTTCCCACAAATAACCTGACCTTCCACAAACAGTGGTCCTAGCTGGCAAAGTGGACTTCTTATAAAACTCACTTGTAGTCCCTGGGAGTTGTGGCGTCCATCAGATGAAGTTGCATATCTCAAGTCAAATTTGGCTACAGCTTCAGTCTGATTGTGTTAACATCTATAAAGATTGACTAGGATGACTAAATTCAATGAACTAACCTTCAAGAAGGAAAGGTCATAATTTCTTTGCACATAGGTAATTTCCAAGTTCCCAAGGACCACTTCACAGTTGTTGAACATCCTCTGCAGGCTCAGAAAGTGGTCTTCAAAAGTGCCCAGTTGGGTCAGCCTGTTACTTGTGCCTTGGCAAACTAGAATAAAAAGGAAAGAGGTCTTTCAGAAGATGCTGAGTAAGGTAACAAACCACAACAAAACAATAGTCGTCAGCTTTGGGAGCCACACTGGCTTACAATCAACTTTGATCAAAGCCACCACATCAGCGTTGTGGTAAGAGATGTTTAAGTTTACAGAGCTGTAATCCATAGTAAGACAGATTGTAAGTAAGATCTTTATTCCTGTGATGCATGCAATCATGTGATATTAAAGATACAGAGAAAACAAAACATTAAAAGTTCAAGGAGGCAGAGGATGGAGATTCTCTAGAAGTTTTATGTTCATTACTTATCTTGTTTCTGTGACAAAAGCCCCTTAAGGAGGGAAGGGTTTATGTAGGCTTCTAGTTTTAGGGAAGACTGTTGGCTATGGTGGGAAAGGCAGGGCAACAGAAGGTTGAAGCGTCTGGTCACACTGCATCCAGAGTCAGGAAACAAGAGAAATGAGTACCACTCAGCTCCCTTTTTCCTTTTTATTTAGATTCAGGACCTCAGTCATGGAATGGTGGCATCCACCTTTCTACATCAATTAACCTAATCTAGAAGATTGTTTACAGATATGCCTGGATATTTGTTTCTACGGTGATTCCAAGTCTTGTCAAGTTAACAATCAAGATTAACCACAACAGTCTTTAATACAGGATAGACTTAAGTGTGCCTATAGAGAAAGATACCCATCAAACCTATGTGGATGATACAATTTCAAGGTGAGTTAATAACAATGCAGTGGACATTTTACTTCTTAGAAAATAAGTGTTACATTTTAATGTATACAGAGAGTTTCCAGGAACATAACACTCAATATGCAATGTTTTCTAACCACAATTCTGTATACCTTAAAACAATGAAAGCAATGGGATTTCAAAAGTCACCTGTCTAGAAATTCAAAACATTCCTCTGAATTATCAAAAGACAAATTAAAGTTCTGATTATAAAATACCCAGAACTCCCTATAAAGTGAAAAGACAACACTTTAAAGCAGTAGATTAGTAAGAAACCTCCATGGCTTTCTGTCCCTTTCACATTATGTTAATACACCCAACACAGGCATTCATGTTTGCCTTGTATGCTCTGCCAACACAAAGCTTGTCAAGACACAAACTTAATCCAAGAAAACAGGAGAAATTAGTGGCCAGAGTCAGACCACATTAATGTACTCAGTAGTCTACATTTAAAAGCAAAGGAGAGAACAGTAATAAAATGGTATTTACAACCTTGCTTTTGGGGAGACATGTTTAGGCAAGTATAACAAAGAGGCTTGGAGCTTTTGAAGCAGGGAGCTTGTCAAGGGATATACTTTGAACCAAAATTATCCCAAGAGTGAAGAAATATGGCCTCTGGGTTTAGACAGTACATTTAGAACTGGCCAGATCCTTCTGTGCTGCCAGAGTTGCTCCCTTGATAGTCACAGGAACCAGGGCACAGAGCACAAAATAAGGCCAATGTCAACACAGTGGTACTTTCTTCAGGTACTTTTACAATGCACACTTCTGTTTTATAGGCTCCTTTGTTCCCTCCCCTTGGGTTGTTCTATGAGCATCATCTGTCTGGCCTTGTACGATGGAGCCACAGTAAGCAATGAGCACATGTTCAGACACCACATAATCAACCCAAGGCATTTACAGACACTGTGAAGCAATCTTCTCATCCTCCTTAACTCCATGGGAATCTCTCCACTCCCCTTCCATTTTCTCCTACTAATTCAGCAGGACTCAGGGAACTGTGAAAGTTGACAGGATTGGGTCCCCATCTCCTACCTGTAAAGGGAGGGTGAGTCCGTAATTCTTCCAAATATGACTTGGAGTTGACCAAGTATGTTTGGTCCTCTTTTACCTAAGAGTGTGATCTGCTCTGATGTTTGCCTCTACTTGGAACAACTGCTTAACTCTTCAGGGCATACAGGTAGTGCAAGACTATGTATAGACTCTTGGTCCTTAAGATGTCACCGTAAATATAGGTGTAGAGGTTGGACAATCATATGCTACCTTTCCATCATCACATCATTGATTGGCAACCATCTTTCTAATTCACAGGTTTGCTTTTAGTTCCTACTGATCATCTGCGGCCCTAGCCACCAGGATACTCCTGTCCTCCACATCAGTGTTATGAAAACCCTTGTGGAGCTGGGACCAATTTAGATGGCATTCTTCAGCACACTGAAATATATTTAATTATATTTAAAGTGACCAAGTACTTTACCTTGCCACTTTCTTTCAGTTTGCATTATGGTATTTCTTTATTATTAAGCTAATTAGGAACTTTTTCCAAACAGAAGTCAAAGCATGCCATCCGAGATTAGTGAATTATAAAAAAAAAAAGTATTTGTATATCGTTCAATCTATTCAAAATGCTAAACAAGCATTTGAAGTGCTTATTTGTGAATATTTATTATCTACAATTAGGATAGGTTACTCTCATATGCAGAAAAAGAAAGAATTTATGTTTGGGAGTTAATAAACAACATTACTCCTTATTGGTGTGGATATTAATTCACAAAACACTTTGGGACACAACTGAGCAACGTGTTTAAACAAATAACCTAAATTCTAACTATGATTCTATGTTGTAAAACCCATGCTAGGGAAAAAAGACTAAAATTTCAAAACTGTGTTATGTACAAGTTTATTACCTTTTTCAATAAGGTAATAAAATTTCAAAGAAACCTAAATGCCCCCAATCCCATCCAATAGGTCTGTGTTTGAGAATAAGGAAGAAGTTGATATTTTATATGATTTAATAAAGTCAAGTCTACATTGATATATATGGGTTAAGTGCTTGTTTCAAAAGAGCTCATTTACAATTCTGTTCATTCTGAGGCTGTCTCTCTTTTTATGTTCCTAAGAGATGACAACATGTAAATGAAGTCTAGGCTCAAGATGAGGATAAGTTCATATAGAGGGAAGAAGTATATCTCAGTAGAAGGACACACACACACACACACACACACACACACACACACACGGGTGGGGTGGTAGGGGTGGGAATACAACAATGGAAGTATTTGATCTAGGTTGCCTAATTGAATGAAAATGTCATTTTGGCTCCATCTTTGGACCAAATAGTTAACTTTAAAACAATTTTTTTCTTCTTGCAATTGTCTTACTGTGTAGCACTCTTTAACTTGAAAGTTGCTATGTAGGCCAGGCTGACCTCAAATTCAAAGGAATCTATCTGCCTTTACCTGACGAGTGCATCTTAAAATTTAAATCCATAAGAAAAAGCAAACGGAGTGTCAGTAGCACAAGTAAAATTGTTAAAAATAATATCTACAGTTTCACCAAAATTTGGAGTTTGAGAACTGGTCTCCAGCACTTCAAGCACTCTACCACTAAGACTCTCCTACCTCTAGCAAGAAGGATGTTTGTGTTTGTTTTATTAAACCAGAATAAAGTTGTAGGTGACCTCTTCCCCACTGTCTTCCTTGAATTGATTCCTTGAGCCCTGTCAGCCTCAATGATAACAATAATATTGTCCTCCCAGAATTGTTTGGAGATGGAGAAATAAGCAAGAGTCTTCAATTTTACTGAAACAATTCCATTCCTGTCACTACTGAGACGATTAGCGTGACGTGACATAAGAAGAGAGAAGGCCTCAGAGTGAACAGAATTGTTAATGATTTCTTTTGAAATGCACGCAGGCTGATGTTAGGACGGCAGACACTGCACACTGGGGCTGCACCTCTGCACAGTCACTGCTCAGCTGTGAGGCACAGTGAATGGCAACTTTGTAGAATATTTATCAGATCAGAGTATCAAAAGGGAGGCAAAGAGAGTTTCTTGTATTTTAAGAGTTTCACAGAACACCTATATGTGTGTGTATGTATGTATGTATGTGTGTATATATGTATGTGTGTGTGTATGTGTGTGTGTGTGTATGTGTGTATATGTATGTGTGTGTATATATATGTATGTGTGTGTATGTATGTGTGTGTATGTAGTGTGTACATGTATGTATGTGTGTTCATATATGTGTATGTATGTGTGTGTATGTGTGTGTATGTATGTATGTGTGTGTATGTATGTGTATGTGTATATGTATGTGTGTGTTTGTGTGTGTGTTTACTGAAGGAGTTACAATATGAACATCCCCATGTGAGCACTTCACCACACTGTACCACATGGCTACCCAGACCCATCCAGTTTCTTGGATTATATTTTAAATAAGGGGAAACACAAGTGAACTTCACCTTGATTCATGGCAATTTACTGTGTTTACAGCTGGTTTTGAGGAATTGTGCATGATTTGAGCAAGTGTACATAAAAAAAAATCTAAACTCCCATCACAACAGAAAATGACACTGTCTTTCTGAATCTTTCTTCCCAGACAGGCTTGGCTCACACCAGACACAATCTGATTCTAAGTATTTCACCGCAGTGTGGCCATGCTTACAATGGAGCATCATAGGAATGGATTTCTGAAGTAAATGTGTGGAGCTAACCCTTTAAATTGGATGCATTTCACATCCCAGCATTTTCAGGATTAATCTTTGGCTTTTGTGACAGATTCCAGGCATGCAGTAGGAGCAGTTATCTGTGTAGTTTCCTAAGACACCAAGGGCTGATTTGAAGCCTGGTTATTCTTTCTCTTAAGGAAACGTCCAGTTTACTGGAACTAAGAAAAACCTGTGTCCTTTGTGCAGGGTTCCTGGGCTTATATGGTAGGCTCTCGCTCCTCTGTGCTAAGACTGCATATGCAGCTCCTCTTGTACCAATTAACACACGGCACAAGGCATGCTTCTCCAGAGGTTTCCAAATTCACTCTCAGACTTTTAGAAGTTCCAAAATAAATTCATAATTGTTTTAACTTAATGTTATTCTCAGCTATACATTAATAGTTTGCCAACAGTACTGGTTTCTTGGATATGTCTCCCTGTCACCTCAGAAATTGTCTCTTTTGTCCTTGCTCTATTTTGTACAGAGCATTCCACTTTCAAGCAGAGACCACATCACACAAGGCCTGGGTCTCAGTCATCAGAACAG